AGTCTAAAGGCCTCTGTTGAGTTAGAGTAAACCGCACCTGGTTGAATACCTTCTTGAAAAACAGTCCTGCTAATGGTGTTAATGAGACTTAATCGCAGGGGCTTTGAAAAATATTACAAATATGACATGCTGACCAACCATGACTTTAATTTCCTACATACTTTCTCTGGTTCTGCACAATTGCAATGTAATCCCGAGAACGAGCATAATATCCATCACTGCCTATCGCACCCCAGAAATTTGACCACATCTTGCCATCCTTGGTCATAATGGGTGCCAGAATTGGTCTGCAAAAAAATACGGGTACATGTAGCATAGTTAACACTCATAGCAATTTCCACCTTTCACATGAAATGTCCAGTGCTAGCCACAAGATCCCTACTTTCCTTAGTTCTACAATTTTCTGAGGTGCAGAAGTATGGAGGATCCCTACTTTAATTTTTCATCCCAAGTTCCACACTTTTCTGAGGTGTGGAAGTGTGAAAGTGTGGAATAGCGGACAAAATGAGGATATTGTCACATTTTCCCCAAGTCTTTTGAACAACTGGGGGCAGGGGCCAGTAGACTGAATAAAACCTTTTTCTGTCGCTTATTCTTAAGTGCGTATGGCTAGCACTGTCTTTATCAACCAAATGTGGCAGCCCATTTCCTACACCCTGTTAAACAAACAAACAATACACCTGGTGACAACAGCTAAAATTCAACAGCACTTGAATAGCTTACCTATTTTGCTCAATAAGAATTTTAAGTGTGTCCTTATTGGTGAGAACAACAGATCCATCAACGGAGAAAAGATAGTCGCATTTCTTCGTCTGGCACATCTCACTAGTCAGAGAAAAACAAAATAAATACAAAAAAATTACAAAATACAAAATAGAAATACAAAATAATAAACATTATACAACACTGAAGAAAAAGAAAACAAAAAATTAGGCCTGTGCCAAGTACATGTAAATACTCAGTGAATTCTTGGGTAGGTGCATGGTGCTAGCACTCTTAAGACCTTAAAATCCAATACTGCATTATTATGTTCCTAATTTTTATTTCGTGTGTCTTTTCAAACTTGGCAACAAAACTCATTTTTTTTCAAGATGAAATTTTAAAAACTCTTCACTAGTATATGATACCCTATACAAAACCAGGAACTATATCTGATTCGCATACCCTAAATATGCCAGTCTTAACTGTTTGGAATGTCATAGTTTGCATATATTATTTTACAACAGTATGCAAAAGTGAAACTTCAGAAGAGGTTTGCAAACAAGAAATATCATCATTGTTAATGCATGTTATTTCCAATAAAGTGTTCAAAGATATCATATACATGCATGGGATAGGTAATTGATAGATTTTAAAACTTCTAGTCCCTCAGTACTAGAGACAAAAACCTTGGGAACTGATCACAGATGATTAACTTACACAGCGAGATTTCTAGCTTCATCTTCTTGTACGTTATCTTCTGGCTGAAGAACAGTGACAGAATTAAACTGATTCCTGACCTCATCTGTTAACCATTCAGTGATTTGTGACTTGTGATAGGCAACCTAAAATTGCGACAAACAAATTACATGTACTTATTATTACTGTCATAACTACTAAGTGACAGAGGGAAGCACTTAATTAACTGTCCCGTACTAATGTATGTTGCATGTTTTGTTAACCTGGCCATAGAGAACTTTTTCAAAAAAAAATCACTGATTCAGTATCTTGTAAGACTGTCTGTGTTACTACATCATGACTTACAAGTATATCGGTGCATAACCATGATCATCACACCAATACATCTTTGTATCATGTAACTATAATTTATTTTTATACTGTATGCTAAATATGACACAAAACTGACCATACTTCTCCCAATGTAAGGAAGAGGACAAAAGGTGCTTCACAGAAGTGAATTCAAAGTAACATAAATAGTCACTGATCTTAAATCTCTATTTATTGCAATAACGACTTGAAAGCACAACATACCGTGTTGTGGATAAAGAGATCTATGTGCTTTTTTGGATAATTTTGAAGCATCATTCTTCTTAGAAACTCCGGAATAAATGGTGTTGGTTTCTCAATGAAGAAGCCCATAAAAATCTTGGGGTATTCCTAGGGAACAAAATTTAATACAGTTAAGTTAGATATCTAGTACAGGGTTAAATAATGATAATTACAGTACTGCTCAAAAGTACGTTACCACCCTCTCCCAAGACGTGAATCGCGTCGTGCGCTACGCGATTCTCATAGCGCGCGATGGCCTAAAAACTGTAAGTACATTTGTATCATGGCCAAAATTCTTGAGCGATTTCAAGAATCGATGGTAAAGCTTTACCATGACTAACATGCGAACAAATTTTTCTTTGTATTGTATAAGGACATACATTTTAAGGGGGTACTCAACAAAGTTTTATATGGTGAGGCTCTGCTCTGAGGTCCAACCCCTCACCCATTTATGACAGAAAAGCTACCCCTTTCATATATCTTCTCTTGATAAAGGTACAATTTTCACACACTTACTATAGAACGTTGCGTCCCTTTAAACGGCTGTAAATGCACTCTCTTTGAAATATGAATAAATCACAAAACCAGAACATTTTCTCAACTTTTTTCACAGATGACAAAAGCATCTGTTAGCCCTTTTGGACCTTTTTACACACAAAAAAGACAGACCTCCCAAACCCAAGGCTGTGCTCTACGAAAAGTTGAAGGGAGCCCAGTGCTCTGAACTATATATATTGGCCATTTAAGGGAGTACTCTGCCCCCCTCCAGGAGAATTAGGCTGGTCATGGGGCAAGGCTCCTGTTTAGGGTATGGTTACTGAAACAGAGCATTGTTTAATAGCTCATCTAATGGGAGTCTGTCTCTGAAAACGTTCACTGAATAGGTTTCATTTAATAATGAAGCATACCTTGACGTTATCTAACGAGATTGTTGCCTTGTCACAAACTGTGCATCCATCTTCCATGTTCCACTTATCAGGAAGATAATTTCCCAAGTAATTTAAAAACAGCTAGAAGAAAAAAAATAACAAACAGTGTCAGCCTATTAAGTCCAAAACTATATTAATGGAAGAGACCCTATGGTGTAAAAATGTGAAGATGATAACTCATTGGCAGTACTTTCACATGGTACTATTTCTTTGATTACTCAGTTTTCTTCAGTTCAAAATTATAGATGATGCATTTCCTTTTTATTCAACTTTTTGGCAGAGTTGTATATAAAATAAAAACATTATTTTAGAGATCCCTTTTCTGTCCTTTGTAAAGAACTGTTTTCGAAGCCCTTACCAAGAGAAGGGTGATCGTACAGCAAATTTTTGCAATGACAGGCTAGGTCTCTACAAAGCAGGTACAAAAGACACGTCACAGGTCGCAGGTCACAAGTGCAGGTCACCGCTCTGTTTATAAATAACTTTGATCTTTTATCAAATTCTCTCAACTCATTCTTTAAGGAAATATAGAGAGATAAGTTTGGAGAATTTGTATGTGGATATTGGGGCTTAAAGGGTTAAGCTGCTTAAAACTCTATTTTTTTGGATTGGATCAGGGCTAGGAGACACTTTAAAAGAGTTGTATATTTACCTAGCATGGTGACCTGTACTCTAACCTTTACTTGTGACCTGTGACCTCCATTTTCCACCTGCCAGTCTCTTATACACACAAGTCCAATTTAAATAAAGCAAATCAACAGCAAGATTCCTTGCCACATACTCAAACCAGTCAAATCATTACAGTTTTCACAAGCTGAGTCAATATTTTACAAGGATAAGAAGATGGAAAATTATATCAGTAATTTGTATTTTTATTGGTACATACCTTGCTTGGGCCATTCCCATGAGCCACTAGAGGTTGGGTGTTGTATTCATTGTTTACAAGCCATGCCTTTTTCTCATCAAACTTGATTTCTACTTCATCTGCAAAGTATGGATTCAAAGGATTATGTTGCAGGGAAGTCTGAAAACCATAACTGCTGGTATAAAATTACAGTTACTAATGGCCACCTTGGGGACAGAAAAACATGGTCATTCTAAAGAGGTTTAAATAAGAGTGAATTTATGAATGTATGAAAAGAGTAGCTGTTGTAATGAGGTGCCATTGTGGAAAGGAGGCTGTTTGTACCACAAGCACGAATAAAAGCTCAAATTTTTCTTCCCCAAATAATTAACATCATAATGAAAAATTATGAGAAACAACCGCGAGTAACACAAAACGCGATTTTTAACATCACTAGGGCTCACTATTTTCTTAGTCCTCGTTTGACTGTCAAGTTGTTAAGTTACTGGGTAAAATAAATGGGATTTTGTCCACTTATACTGATTGAATATGTAATCAGTACCCTCAAGGAAATGCGTGCCCAGTTACTCATCACATTTTTTTAAAATGTAAGCCTAATGGCCTTCTTTGCAATGTCAGCGACACACTCAGCCTGCGCCACAGACGAAACTTAACTCTGATTAAGTCCGTCTGCGAAACAGTGCCGAAATCCTTGTTCTGGGTCCTCACCTGCGTACCAGGATTTAAGTACGCGCCATGATTGGCCTGTTAAAAAAGACATTGTCGATTTGCCAATCAGGATGAAAGGAAATTCTAAACGCACTTCCTTCGCAGATGTTTACTAATCGAGGTTAAATTACGCCTACGACGCAGGCTACGACACAATTAACCCATTTAGTCCCAAGAGTGACCAACATCAATTCTCTCCTAACAATATCAATACAGAATCAAGAGAAAAGGTTAGGAGAATTAATGAAATGATCTGATCACCTGAGAGAAAATGCTTTGATCTTCTACCAAATTCTCTCAACTCATTCTTTATGGACACGTATAGAGACCAGCTTGGAGAATTTGTACGTGGATCTTAATTCATCAAAAATAATCCACTGCGCCGGTATCACGAGGAACAACTTACAAAAAAATCGAGTTTCGTATTACGAAAACTTTTCTGTAGTGGTGTTGTCCATTATATTAATAATAAAATATTCTTTTCTTTTCTTTCTGTTAAATGAGTTGATTCAAGGGTCTATAAAGGACACCATGATGTATCGCTTTCCCCAGGTTACTGGTAATCCTTCATGGTAATGTGTTAGCCGACCAGGATGCATAAAAGACCAACCAATCCGTGTCTCGGTCACTTGACAGTTGTAACGTATAAATCTACAGCCTCCACCCTGCAGAGAAGACAAATTGGAATTGAGGTGTCTGGGTAATTGACCAAAGTGAGAACTAGGTGTTAATGTTGACTTATGGGAGGGGTGATCCGACCAATATTCATCAGTAACTGGTCCGCTGTGGAAATGGTTTGTTATAGGGGATGTACTTCTGAAAGGAACTGTCGCTGAACATGGGGTTTAAGATGTCACGACGGCCACGGTGGCGGCAACCAGAGCGTCAAAGACCCAATGGGTTTAGAATTCGAGGACGAAATTTGAATTAAAGTTTTTTCGCATATTCTAAAAAATAGACAACCCGGAAAGCTTCATTGCACTTTTTTTGCACCAGAAAAGTTATAGCTGTTATCCTTATTGAAGAAGATTAAGACCTCTCCCGAAGGCAAAATAATAAAAGCTATAACATTTGATAACTTATTTCCGCCACTACGACATTCTCGCAAAAACTCGTCAGTAGACTTACGACGGCTACCACGTTTTCCCGCCAAAATGACGCTGGTTCGCGCGCGTACACTACTTGGTACTGAGAAAATCTCGTACTCGTAGTCGTACTCGTCTTAGAATCTAATGTCCTCTATTAACGAATCAACAACTTTGCACGTGCAGCAAACTTTTTGGTACATTTTTTCATGTTTCATTGCCGTCACTGCGCGACTACGACGTCAAATTGCCTAATTTCATGTTTTATGGAGAATGCATAAAAACTTCACTGTACTTACTCCGTAATCGATGCCTGGTTTTGACAGAGCCATGTTGATAGTGTACGTTGAAGAATCATGATGCGGTCTTAAGTAATACTGCCTGTTGGGATCGTATTTTACAACAAAATTCATGATAGCACGACCCTGCAAATAAACAAAGAAAACTGCAGTTATATATTAGGATCCTGGGGACTGGCTTTTTACAACTAAGTAGTTGGGCTCTCCCAAAGGGCTTTTTAGACCTCATTATTAATACAAAATTAATAATAAAATATCGTTGGGGTGGGGTGGGGGCCCCCTTTAAGAACGGTTAATCCGCGAGGGGAAGGGAGACAAGGCTTCTCCGCTCGTTACGCGCGCGCTTCTCAACAAAACCGCCAGCTACTTCGCGCGTCTCGCGTACTCGCGCCTCACGTGGTGGGCCTGATACCACACTATATTCGAAGAATAATAAGGGGCTGATTGCTGTTCAGTCTATTCTAACCAAGCATGGAAAGTAATTAATTCTTACCTCAGAATGGTAGCCAGGGAAAATCCTGCCGTTCACAGGTACAATATATTGTTTGAGAAAGTGAAGCCACTCTCGCTCAAAATTGATCTATGTACAAAGTACAAACCAGAAAACAGTTAAGAGGTATATTCCGAGATCATAGTTTATAACGTGGCATATAATTTTGGCCGTGTATTAACCGGGTAGCTGTATCATCGGGGAGGGTGATAGTGGCTATTGCATGATCGGGGCTCGAAAAAAACTTGAATTCCAGCTAGTCCTATGGGAAAGCATCTCTCTCATTTTGCTTGCCCACGCCAGGTGATGACCACTTCTTACTGGTCTTAGAAAATGATTTAGTCAGAGGATGATGAATTGCCTGGACCCTTATAAGAGGCTAATGGGATGGGGTCGCTGGATGGGGTCGCATTTTCACGACTGGATTGACTATAATGGGGTCGCATTTTCAATAGAGTTACTCGAATGGGGTTGCACATTTTCGGATGTTTTGGGGTAAGACAGTTCTTCATATTTACGGTTAGCAAACGTATTAGAATGTTTGTACTGTAGGTGAAAAAAAAAGTGTTCTTCATTCCACTTAAAAAATGGGTCAATAGATAAAAATAGGAAGTGATTCAGCTGGGACCGCGAAAATAACATATTTGCCCAAAAGTGACTAAGATAGGCTCTATAATTGGCTACAGAGTAGACTATAATGGGGTAGAGGCTCCGAGAGGCCAGCGGCAAATACGCAACAAAAATTAACCCAAGTACCCCGCCCCCCCCCCCCCCCCCTCCCAATGCCGGTCATTAGACAAGCAAGCTTTAAAAGTTACTTGCCCAGCAAGAAAATCTAATTGTCCCGGCGGGACAATCGGACGGAAGTTTTTTCGAGCCCTACTGAATTTGCAAAGAAAAATTTGATTTTTTTTAAGTGAATAAGAAAATTGACTCGTCACCTGGTTCATGTGTATGTCGTCAGTGGGTACATTCTCATAGCCTCCTGACAATCGCTTATCCTAAAATTAAACATCGGATGTCATGGAATAAGATAATAAAGCTATTCAATATATGAGAAAAAAGTCAAAACAATCTTAGCATATCTTTTTACCTCGTGTTTTCCGCCAGACCAGTCTCCAAAATTTTCCATTTCCTAACGTAAACAATTCAATAAAACATTGGCGTTAATAAACCCAATTAAAGGCAACTGGACAATAATTAATGAAGAGAAGACATTGGGGATTTTTCAAGGGAATTGTTTAAAACGTAGCTTATACAGTAAGTTCAAGAGATTAATTTCAGTTCAAGCTATTCTACCTCAAGTTCTTTTTACCTCAACAAGATGCTTGGCAAAAGTTTCTGTCACAATGGGAAACCAAAAAACATCTGGGCATGGCTGAAAAAATACCACAACAATAACAAAAACAACTGTTTAAGTTTCTTCACTGACATTGACTGTGGCGCCCAACAATTCCCTTAGGTTCAAATATTATAGCGAGCTTAAGTAACGACAGCGGCGACGGTGAGTCAGAGATGGCAATGACAACGGTAGAAAGTAAGGTTTAGAATAGTAAAACAACAACTTTGTACATGCATCACGCTTTTTCTACATTTTTTTTGAGGTCGTTGCGCGACTACGAAGTGAAACTTCAACAACATTTGACAAAGTGAATGAGATGGAAAAAGAGCGATGAAGATTGAAATGCACTTTTTAAGTCGCCATTGTGGTTGCTCTAACTCCCTAATAACAAAATGAGTACATGTACACATTATTGTTAACAAAAAAGTATGATAGTTTTCTATTTTACCTGTGCAAATTGAACACTAAGATTGAAGTTCTGCGAGTAGTTCTCATGAATGTACTTTTCCTCCCAATCCTAAAAAAGAAAAAAAGAAATATACCACAACATGTTCCCGCCGGCCGCGCAGTGCCTTTAACTATTGTACAATTTACAAAATAATAATAAGAGAAAGACCTTACCTTTTTGTTGTCAAAAATCTCCCACAAATCATTGTGCAGCATCTTTGTTCTGTAGTTGTCAGTCTCCAGCAAACGTCCAAACTCATTAAGATTGGTGGCATACATAAAAATACCCTGCAGTTTGATAACAGTTTGTCATTTGGTTTCATTCCAAAAGATTGTTTAGGTGACACAGTGTAATCTTATTCGAAATTAAAAAAGAAGAATGAGGGTCATATTCAAGCGTAAAATAAATTTTACATCATGAATAGTGACGAGGCTGTGCTCTAAGAAAAACTGAAGGCTAGTGCGGTGCTCTGAACCTGGAAATCCAGGGTGCCCAGCATATGATTTCTATGGAAAGACTTAGATTTATTCCTATTTATATTCACCACTAAGAGACGGGAATGGGTGTGCAGCTCGAACTGTGGAGCTGGAATGTTTAATGCCGTCCAAATAACATACAAAGTTCAACATCATAACTAAAGAATGGTATACAAATATTCCTAAATAAAGTCATTCAGGCTAAACTATTAACATGTGGCGCCTGATGCGAAAAACCCAAAAACCCAAAGAGAAAAAATTGGGAACGTATTCACCAACTGATGCAGGAGGTATCTGCAGCACATAATGATGCAAAAAAAAAAAGAAAATTTAAACAATGATGTTTGCTAAATAAATGAATCTCTGTTCACTATCAGAAGTAGCCAGTGTAGCTGGCAGGATCAGTGGGCGAGTGCTGTAGATTTTCTCCCTTGCAGAGCCACACCGCCATAAAGAAAGTACCCTGGGCACAACAATCCCACCAGGTCACAGGCTATTTCAGAAATGACAGGTCACTGCTCACCTTCTCCCTTAAGTTCTTGCACATTGTCATGTCTGGATCAAACTTATCTCCAGTAAAAATTCCTTTCATCTCACTCAAGACTTGTTTCTGGATCAAATAAGTAGCTGAAATGTGCGGCACATTCCATACACCCCTGCAATGACATTGAAATACAGTCAACTGGAGTCTAGAGATGTCCATCTTATAGAGTAAAATGAAATAAATGAAGAAATGTAAGAACAAACTCATTTAGGTGTTACTCTTATATAGTCTAAAGGCCTCTGTTGAGTTAGAGTAAACCACACCTTGTTCAATACCTTCTTGAAAAACAGTCCTGCTAATGGTATTAGTGAGACTTAATCACAGGGGCTTTGAATATTATTACAAATATGACATGCTAACCAACCATAACCTAGATTTCCCACATACTTTCTCTGGTTCTGAACTATTGCAATGTAATCCCGAGAACGAGCATAATATCCATCACTGCCTATCGCACCCCAGAAATTTGACCACATCTTGCCATCCTTGGTCATAATTGGTGCCAGAATTGGTCTGCAAAAAAATACAGGTACATGTAACATAGTTAACACTTATAGCAATTTCCACCTTTCATACAGTGCTGGCCACAAGATCCCTACTTTCCTTAGTTCTACAATTTTTTAAGGCGCAGAAGTATGGAGGATCCCTACTTTAATTTTTCATCCCAAGTTCCACACTTTTCTGCGGTGTGGAAATGTGAAAGTGTGGAATAGCAGACAAAATGAGGATATTGTCACATTTTCCCCCAGTCTTTTGAACAAGTGTTTATGGCTAACACTGTCTTTATCAACCAAATGTGGCAGCCCATTTCCTACACCCTGTTAAACAAACAAAAAATACACCTGGTGACAACAGCTAAAAGTCAACAGCACTTGATTAGCTTACCTATTTTGCTCAATAAGAATTTTAAGTGTGTCCTTATTGGTGAGAACAACAGACCCATCAATGGAGAAAAAATAGTCGCATTTCTTTGTCTGGCACATCTCACTAGTCAGAGAAAAACAAAATAAATACAAAAAAATTACAAAATACAAAATAGAAATACAAAATAATAAACATTATACAACACTGAAGAAAAAGAAAACAAAAAATTAGGCCTGTGCCAAGTACATGTAAATACTCAGTGAATTCTTGGGTAGGTGCATGGTGCTAGCACTCTTAAGACCTTAAAATCCAATACTGCATTATTATGTTCCTAATTTTTATTTCGTGTGTCTTTTCAAACTTGGCAACAAAACTCATTTTTTTTCAAGA